ACACACATTGACACATATGCATTGTATGAACATGTATGTACATTTTATATAAAGCTAGGTTAATAATTATTGTATTTAACCCGAATCATATATAAAGCTCAATATTCGTGAACTTTTCATCCATTGTCTTATTTAGAAGCCATTGGAGTTCATCTCGTGGGGTCATGTGGTCATGCATTCATGGCTACATTTTAATATATACCACAAATATTGTAAACAGTTAATAAATATACTCTACTTAAGGGGCATGTACGGTACATAATTGCAAAATGCCAACCTATAACTAAACTACACATGTCTTAGGCTAAACGTTAATATTATTAATTGCAAAATATAATAGATATTTGATTTCCAAAAGAATCATAGCCCACAGGGAGTAGAAACGCACAATATATTTATACAGTTACAATAAGCTATATTCCTATAAATTACCTTGTCACCCTTGTAAGTGAAATTGTCTTGTTTTGTATCTTGTCAACACTTCTTTATTTAGCTTGCATTTTATTTACACTGTTTCAACAAACATGTTTTATAAAATTATGTTTGATATCTATATCCAGAAACAGTTTGAAACAGTATTGTCACGCATTCGGAAACTGTCGGCGTAATGCCGTAAAGTTTAATTTACATGAAGTACATCGCATATAAATGGTCGGAATTCTAAATTATTAAAAAAAAATACTAAACAAAATGATACGGCGCACTACATCGTGGTTTTAAGTCTTTTACCTGATAATTTGTTCTGCAAACAAGTAACAACAAAGATTGTATGGTATGTACGATGTAATAATTGTTTTACTGTTTATTTTATATACAGATCTGGAAAATTTAATAGATGAGAGTTGCAAAACTTGCAAATCTCGCTCATATTAAACCTCAGTTACCTCACGTATGTTTTTCGTATGATAGCCAATATAATTATAACTAGGAGCTAGAGTATAACCATGCACATGTCGAAGTACAACCATTGTATACAATGCAGTGCTCGATCTACATGCAACAGTGCATAAATTGCAGGATGACCTTATTATATACTCGTACTCATTGACTCTCATTATCATAGTCTTGTTGTTCTAACAGCAATTAGGCTTTGAGAAGCCATGTATATTATAGATTAATTTGTAGCCCAGCCACCATAGTCCGTATAAATTGTAGCCCAGCCTCCACATTTTACACCAATAATGCCAAAAGAGCCTAATGAGTGCCTAAATACGGTCAGCCTAATCCACTTATTTGATTTATCCATGTTGCATTACTCTTGATTGCAAAACACCTGGATTATACAGGATTTGCCAGCAAAATAGCAGCAATTGATAAACTTGAGTACATTATTGACTGAATGTATCAAACAGAATACATGTTGGCGAGTTAATGCGATTTTAAGCATGGGCGTACGGGAAGGAAAATATTAGGGGGTTGGAAAGAAGTGATTGGGGGGGGGGGCGAGAAGTGATTACAAAAAATTCCTATTGGATAGCATATTTCCCACATAATTGACAGAATTTCCCACAAATTGACAGGATTTGTCCCATTTATTTCTATAATAAACCAATATTGCCAGACAGTGAAGCGAATATTGCCCGGCTGGCATTGTTTGCCCAACAAAGCCAGGGGGCGACTGCCAGCCAGAAACTGGGGGGGGCGGTCGCCCCGTCCCCCCCCCCCACCCAGTACGCCCATGATTTTAAGCGATTTTAGGCGATTTAAAGCGATTTTAGGCGATTTAAGAGAAATTTGACCATTTTAACCCGCGATTTAATGCGATTTTGGGCGATTTAAAGCGATTTAAGGCGATTTACCGCCCCAGAGTAGGCCTTGTTTTGAATAGCTTCAAACACGATTACAATAGATGCCGTCTCATTAGTATTCTTTATATAAAGAATATAATAAATTGTGATGAACTTTTATATAAAGAATACTAATGAAGATGAGTTTGATGTGGTATATTACGGCCTCTTCACGACATATGACATATTATGGTTGACATGGATTTGCCAATAAGCTTATAAATTATTAATGATGTTTGAAACAACACCGCGTAAAAACGTCTGCGCGTGCGTCAACATTATTGAAATCTACCTTGCAAACATGATGTCAAGTGTACCGAAGGTTGTCAAAAATTCAAAATGGAAGCAACAAAGAGCGACTTTTCTGTGAAAATACAAGCGGAATAATGAACATGACAACCTAAAAACTAGAAATATTTACAGTCTACATGTGCAAAATAAACCATAGGCGACTGTTGATAAATTTATTGTTGCTGCCGAATGCAGCACACTTCTCTTGACATGAAATATTGCCTGCGTTTACATGATTGTGTCCCGTTTCTTCGACCCAGTTATGAAAAGTCGATCGAAATTTCGATTTCGTGAAATTGTCATGGCCAGAAATCACGGACATTTGCATTTCTCAGGTTTCATGTTACCACGCGCATCCACGCAACAATGGTTGCGCAATGCCCTATGTTTATTATCAGGCGAGCGGAGTTTTTTCAATATAGCATGCTATACATAAATCTAAGAATATTTGTTGAAATTGGTTCAAGAAGTAGCGGTCGTATAGTAACACATTAAGAAAAAATGTTCTCATTGCTTTGTATAGTCGATCTGCTTTTTGCGATTGAATATTAAAACATTTTACCTCACTTTACATAGGAATCTATGAAGGTTTCTCGCTCAAACGGCAAAATCTCGTAATATATTCAATTATCAAAATTTGTTGAAATCATTTTATTTTGACGAATAGTATAGCCTTGCCTTCCGCCGTTTATTATTTTGTTACACCGGATAAAAGCTCTGCTTTTTGTTTTGAAATTCGAAAGTCGGTGCGTTAATATGCATATCATATATTACTTCGCGGGTCAAAAATTTATATTTCATTCGCTTTCTAAACTCGAAATATTGATTGCCTTGCTACATGTTTGGTACCAAAATACTCGTCAAAAGCTTCTGTTTTCATTTCAGTAGTTGTTGTTTAGCTACACGCTGCGCCTGGTACACTAAAGGCCACAACTTGAATGCATACTTCATGCGTTGCTTTATAGACAACACCCACGCGAATATTTAAAATTCCGGATGCTTTGACAGGGCGTAAAAGGATAATTAGCAATTCTTGTGGATAACGGAAAAGCTGCTGACCGACAGGTACGCTCGCACAATGTCTGTCATTTCTGGCCATGGTCTGTCTTTTTGAAATTGTGTCTGTCTGTTTGTAAATAATTAAGGCTTCAGGAAGTTTTTAAACGAGGGGGGCGGTCAAAATTTATTTTGTATTGCGCTCGCATGATACATTGCATGGCATGTTGGATTTTCCGAGGATTTTCACAAATCGACAATATTTTGAATAATTCAATTAAGGATAAGTAGCTTTATTTCTTTCTGGTGATATTACATGTAGGCATTTATATTTAGATCTGTTGTAAAAAGTGTTCGATATGAGGTATTTCAGTATTTGAAACAATAATCAATATGATTTCACCAATTTATCGGCACATTGAGGAGTCAAAATTATTGGCATGATGTTATATTGTTAGTCTTGTTCGACTGTATACAGTATGTTTTTCCGTTTGCTAGTAAGGTTGGGTCGTCCGCAAACATCTTGAGCTTTTTAGGTCACACAAGAATGATTTTTTATAAATGCTGACTGGTTGTTCAGTAAAAGATGATGTTGTCGCAACCACGACATTAAATTCAAATGAATGTGTCTTTAACATATTTTGCAAATAATTCGAAGGATTGAGATCGGGCGATAATTCTCCTCGGATGTTTTTAACCCAGATTTGTAGGCTGATTGGGTTGACACGTGCTATCTTCCACAATTCAGGAAAGGTGGAAGTTTCTATACTTTTGTTGATCAGTAGATCTAATAGGGAGTCTGCAATCTCGTTCTCTAATAGGGAGTCTGCAATCTCGTTCATACAAATTTTCAAAATTCTGACAGAAATTTGGTCTAAGCCCATCGCTTTTGTAGTGGACATAAGATTAATAGTCTCAATGACGAATTTTTTCGTTATGAAAGGAATATTAAATTCATCACCCTGAGTTTTGCTACTGTCTACGAATTGTTTAAGTTTATTTAGGTCAGGAGCTATCAGGAAGCTAATGGATGAATATATTTGGTGCTATATTCACAAATGCATAATTAAATGCTCCAGCCACTTCCATGGGATCTGAAGTTAATTTATTATTCAGCTGGGGCTGGTTGTATAAAACTCTTAATCACTTTTTTAATCACTATTTTGTAGTTAAATAGTGATTAACTCTCAAATACGCGCTTCTTACTGGATGACGTTTCCACTAATTACGATTAAACTATGTTTGAAATAGCTCATGCAACCGAGACGCGCTAACGAAGATTTGCACGGGTTTGTCGAAGCAGAGATTCTCAAGTTGTTCTCAAAAGGGTTTCATAAAAAGGATAAAAACCGAATGGGAGCTGTCTTTCATTGAAATATACACGCATTTTCTATTGTCCTCGGGAGGTTGTGGGACGAAATAAGGTTGCACATGCGCATTAAACACGCTTTAATGTGGTTGAGCATGCGTAGTATATCATTTCGCGTCCCACAAGCAAAAGAGCAGATATTACTGTATAAATTCCTTGCACAAGCAAGTTTGATGGTTGATTCAGCTAGTCCTCGTGCACCGAATGATAAATACTCTGCCCAAAGGTAGAGTTTGACGGGCTCTGAGGTACACGGCTGTTGTCTCTTTCTCGACTCAGAGATGTGCAGCGTTTTCTAGTCGAAAACGAGATATAGGGTTTGAGTTTTGTTACAAATTCAAGGTATCTAACTTCATAGTGACCTCTAAAAAAGGTCGCTATGGAGTTAGATACCTTGCATTTTTAATTAGGCATTCAATTCTATTCATCAACCCCGCTTTTCCCTGTGGAGATATCAAATCCCTCCCCTTGCTTTTAGATTCTTAGCCAAATAAAACCCTATTGAGAACAATAGATATCCGCACAAATATGAACTAATGGCTATTCAATACTTTCAGAAAACCCTGGAAATTGCACAAGAGCGTGGACACAAACAAAACGAAACAAATGCGTACATTGGGTTAGGAGATGCTTATAGATTCAACAACCAGTTTCAAACGGCTATCCAATCCTATGCAAAAGCTTTGGAAAATGCACAAGAACGTGGTGATAAAGCAGACAAAACAAATGCGTATATTGGGTTAGGACGTGCTTATAGATTAACCAATCAGTTTCAAAAGGCTATTCAACACTTTCAGAAAGCCATGGAAATTGCACAAAAACGTGGAGATAAACAAACCGAAACAAATACGTACATTGGGTTAGGGGATGCTTATAGATTGAGCAATCAGCTTCCAACGGCTATCCAATCTTATGAAAAAGCCTTGGATATTGCACAAGAACGTGGAGATATACAGAACGAAGCAAATGCGTATATTGAGTTAGGACGTGCTTATAGATTGAATAATCAGTTTCAAACGGCTACTCAATACTTTCAGAAAGCCTTGAATATTGCACAAGAACGAGGAGAAAAACAAAGCGAAACAAATGCGTTCATTGAATTAGGAGATGCTTATACATTGAACAATCAGTTTCAAGCGGCTATTCAATACTTTCAAAAAGCCTTGGAAATTGCACAAGAATGTGGAGATAAGCAAAACGAAACAAATGCGTACACTGGGTTAGGATATGTTTATAGATTCAACAATCAGTTTCAAACGGCTGTCCAATCCTATGAAAAAGCCTTGGATATTGCAAAAGGACGTGGTGATAAAGAAGACGAAACAAATGTGTATATTGGGTTAGGACGTGCTTATGGATTGAATAATCAGTTTCAAGCGGCTATTCAATACTTCCAGAAAGCCCTGGGAATTGCACAAGAACGTGGAGATAAACAAAATGAAACAATTGTGTACATTGAGTTGGGAGATGCTTATAAATTGAACAATCAGCTTCAAGCGGCGATCCAATCCTATGAAAAAGCCTTGGACATTGCACAAGAACGTGATGATAAAGAATGCCAAACAAATGCGTATATTGGGCAAGGAGATGCTTATAGATTGAACAGTCAGTCTCAAACGGCTATCCAGTCCTATGAAAAAGCCCTGGTTATTGCCAAAGAACGTGGTGATAAAGCTGGCGAAACAAATGCGTATATTGGGTTAGGACGTGCTGATAGATTGGACAATCAGTTTCAAACGGCCATTCAATACTTTCAAAAAGCCTTGGAAATTGCACAAGAATGTGGAGATAAGCAAAACGAAACAAATGCGTACACTGGGTTAGGAGATGTTTATAGATTCAACAATCAGTTTCAAACGGCTGTCCAATCCTATGAAAAAGCCTTGGATATTGCAAAAGGACGTGGTGATAAAGAAGACGAAACAAATGTGTATATTGGGTTAGGACGTGCTTATGGATTGAATAATCAGTTTCAAGCGGCTATTCAATACTTCCAGAAAGCCCTGGGAATTGCACAAGAACGTGGAGATAAACAAAATGAAACAATTGTGTACATTGAGTTGGGAGATGCTTATAAATTGAACAATCAGCTTCAAGCGGCGATCCAATCCTATGAAAAAGCCTTGGACATTGCACAAGAACGTGATGATAAAGAATGCAAAACAAATGCGTATATTGGGCTAGGAGATGCTTATAGATTGAACAATCAGTCTCAAACGGCTATCCAGTCCTATGAAAAAGCCCTGGATATTGCCAAAGAACGTGGTGATAAAGAAAACGAAACAAATGCGTATATTGGGTTAGGAAGTGCTTATAGATGGAACAATCAGTTTCAAACGGCTATTCAATACTGTCAGATAGCGTTGGAAATTTCACAAGAACGTAGAGACACACAAAACGAAACTAATGCGTACATTGGGTTAGGAGATGCTTATAGATTCAACAATCGGCTTCAAAGAGCTATCCAATCCTATGCAAATGCCTTGGATATTGCGCAAGAACGTGGTGATAAAGCAGGCGAAACAAATGCGTATATTGGGTTAGGACGTGCTTATAGATTAACTAATCAGTTTCAAAAGGCTATTCAACACTTTCAGAAAGCCATGGAAATTGCACAAAAACGTGGAGATAAACAAACCGAAACAAATACGTACATTGGGTTAGGAGATGCTTTTAGATTGAACAATCAGCTTCCAACGGCTATCCAATCTTATGAAAAAGCCTTGGATATTGCACAAGAACGTGGAGATATACAGAACGAAGCAAATGCGTATATTGGGTTGGCATGTGCTTATAGATTGAATAATCAGTTTCAAACGGCTATTCAATACTCTCAGAAAGGTTTGAAAATTGCACAAAAATGCGGAGACAAGAAAAACGAAACAAATGCGTACATTGAATTAGGAGATGCTTATAGATTGAACAATCAGTTTCAAACGGCTATTCAATGAAAGCCTTGGTAATTGCACAAGAACGTGGATATAAACAAAACGAAACAAATGCGTACATTAGGTTAGGAGATGCTTATAGATTCAACAATCAATTTCAGACAGCTTCCAATCCTATGAAAAAGCTTTGGATATTGCACAAAAACGTGGTGATAAAGAAAACGAAACAAATGCGTATATTGGCTTAGGACATGCTTACATTGAACAATCAGTTTCGAGCGGCTATTCATTACTTTCAAAAAGCCTTGGAAATTGCACAAGAATGTGGAGATAAGCAAAACGAAACAAATGCGTACACTGGGTTAGGAGATGTTTATAGATTCAACAATCAGTTTCAAACGGCTGTCCAATCCTATGAAAAAGCCTTGGATATTGCAAAAGGACGTGGTGATAAAGAAGACGAAACAAATGTGTATATTGGGTTAGGACGTGCTTATGGATTGAATAATCAGTTTCAAGCGGCTATTCAATACTTCCAGAAAGCCCTGGGAATTGCACAAGAACGTGGAGATAAACAAAATGAAACAATTGTGTACATTGAGTTGGGAGATGCTTATAAATTGAACAATCAGCTTCAAGCGGCGATCCAATCCTATGAAAAAGCCTTGGACATTGCACAAGAACGTGATGATAAAGAATGCTGGAACAATCAGTTTCAAACGGCTATTCAATACTGTCAGAAAGCGTTGGAAATTTCACAAGAACGTAGAGACACAGAAAACGAAACTAATGCGTACATTGGGTTAGGAGATGCTTATAGATTCAACAATCGGCTTCGAACGGCTATCAAATTCTATGCAAAAGCCTTGCATATTGCGCAAGAGCGTGGTGATAAAGCAGGCGAAACAAATGCGTATATTGGGTTAGGAGATGCTTATGGATTGAATAGATGGAACAATCAGTTTCAAACGGCTATTCAATACTGTCAGAAAGCGTTGGAAATTTAACAAGAACGTAGAGACACAGAAAACGAAACTAATGCGTACATTGGGTTAGGAGATGCTTATAGATTCAACAATCGGCTTCGAACGGCCAAAAGGACGGGGAGACACACAAAACGAAACTAAAGCGTACATTGTGTTAGGAGATGCTTATAGGTTGAACAATCAACTTCAAACGGCTATCCAATCCTATGAAAAAGCCTTGGACATTGCACAAGAACGTAGTGATAAACAAAACGAAACAAATGCGTACTTTGGTTTAGGCAATGTTTATAGATACAACAATCAGCTTCAAATGGCTATTCAATGCTATGGAAATGTCTTGGATATTGAACAAAAACGTAGAAACATGAAGTACAAAACAAATTTGAATTTTGAAGAAGCCAACGCCTGCTTGATGCTCGGTGAGATCTTTCATGAATTGAAACAACCCGAGAAAGCAATTGAGTATTTCCACAAAGCGATAAATGTTAATAAAGAATTGGAAAATACAGAATTTCAAACGAAGGCAGTTCAGGGATTAGGAACATTGTATTTAACTTTGGCATCAGTTTCTAGTGAAGATTGTGATTACAAAGTGGCAATTGGCTGGTACGAAAAGGCATTGGCTCTTTTTGGAACAGAGTTTAGATATCATCCCTTGCATGCAAAGACTGTAACCGGTTTGGCAGTTACCTACTTCAATCTTGGAAATACTGAAAAAGCGATCAATTTCATTCAAGATGCTCAAAATATTATTAAGAAGAAAACTGATACAGGTAACTGTTTTACATAAATTAGTATTAGCATACAAGAGGGAATTTCGCTATCGACCAATCAACGCTTTTGTTTGCGTTTTTGCTCTAAGCCCATCAAAATGGGTAAAACGCGTCATGACATCAAATTTGTAAACAAACATTTGGGAAAAATATGGGGTCACTTCAGAGCTTTGCTGCATGCGCTTTTTTTTGCCACGAAGTTGATATGTGTTGTTCTTAAAAGACTGCTCCACAACTTCTATGTGGGGATTTTTGATTAATTGCGTGATTGTTAAGATATGCGTCTTCAAACTTTGCCTTGCGCAAGCTTAAATACTGCCACTCGAATTTGTTGGTTCTGATTCTTCCGAACGGATTAGCCTTTTTAAAAGCCTTTCAAATCGAGGTTTGAGAGGTTTTATTTTTTAAAAGATACTTTTATCTTTACATTTTCGCATTAACTTATTAATATCCTGTGCGATAAGTAAACAGGACACTTCCGGGCCGTGACAAGTTGACATATCGATTTTTTGCTAAACAGCGTGGCGAATCAATGTGGCGTATACAAATACAAGGATTTTCTTTAAATTTTGTTGGTATAAATGGGCTAAAGAAACTCATTAAATATTTGGACTAGAAAGTAGAGGTGTGCATCGAATCGGATTGAACGTTTATAATCAGACAAATCCGATCCTAAATTGTCTAATCCGAATCCAATCCGAGTTTTGATGAAGAATTCCAATCCGATTCAGTCCAAAGAATTCTTTAATAAAATAAATTTCTTATTCAAGTTGAAATATTTAAATCAACCCAATAAATATAAAAGCAAGAAATACATGTCAACAAGCTGACAAAGTTAAGTCCAATAATTAGAACACAAGAGGCACAGTGGCCAAACATTTCTACCGAGCGTTTTAAAAATAGTTTCACCAATAGATGTAGTTTTTATATAATTTAGCTTTGCAATTTTGAAATTACCTAAAAATTTTTAATGTTAAAACTTGTAATATATTTTAAAAATTGTTTTGTAACTCTTGATATGTAGCTTATCAATTGATTAATAATGATAATAATAATAATATTGAAATATCAAACGTATAATGCAGCGACAACCGCGATAATGCTTTGATAAATGCATGGATAATTAATTCTCGCGATAATGCGTGGATAATTAATTCATTTTATTTCGGATATCGAAGTCCGATCCGATTCAATCCAATCCGACTACAAAACAACTTTATCAATCCGATCCGATTCGAAATTGATATGTTGGTTATGTCGGATCGGATTCGGATTGGTCTCGGATCGGATTTGCACATCTTTACTACCTCGAACCTTCAAACCTATGCAAAGTATTTATTTGATTGATTAGCTCAATGATTGTTTTTTGCTCATTTTTCGTCGATTTGCATATTTGATCGACCTCAGGATGTGTCAACATTGCGTTGCCACCTGTGGACATGAATATTTTCGTTCGATTGACAATAACACTTGTCTTCATTGTTTTTAATCCTTGAATGACAACTTATTCATTGGTCTCAGAGTCCTAGATAGATGACTTTGGGACAGAATGATTTTGTTCAATGTTGCTGTTCAGATACCATTATTGAAAATTAATTTATGGACACACGAACTTCATTGTCTTAACTTTATCTGGCAAATAAATCACAATTGGGTCCGGTTTGTACAACCTCGTACCCAGGCTCTTTCCACTACGCGCCTCGCTGGAGAAAAGACCCTGGTCCAGGCTGGTCACGTGTTTCCCAGATGTTGGGAGACAACAATTGGGACCTATGGGGGTAGGGAAGGCAAATGTGGTGCTCGAGTTCAAAACAATACAAAAAGTGTGAATAAAGCAATACAATACCAAGGACTACCATGAAACGAAATTTTTATCCCCGAGCCAACGGCGCGAAGCGCCGTGCGAGGGTACTAATTCCCCCCGGCTATTTACACCCGGGGAAACGAAAGCATTAGCAGAGTCTAAAGTTCATCAAGTATCGCGGGCGTGGGTGACCAACGGTGTTCAGTGGGTGGTCATCCTCACTGATCTCAAAAATATGGCGGACTGTCATGAATAGCGGACACTGATTGGTCCAATTTAAAGTTTGCATCATAACGACTGTATGACGACAGCGAAATTAGCAAACATTTCTTGATTTGATCACAGATTTAATGATTGATAAATTTCTTGCAAATATACTTCAATTTTACTCGCATTTTTGCAAGATTTTGTAAATTTCAAGATAGAAACGGCGAAAGAATCGGCTAAAAGAAGGGAGCCGACGTTAACGAAGGTAAGTTTGTGTTAAATATTGATTTTATAATTGCTTTAAAACCCGATGGCCTTTGGCCCTTTGCGTATATGAAATAACTAAACAAGACAGCATATAATTTCAGTCAATTCAGTGTATTATTAATATTGATTCCTTTTTTATTATATTGAATTTTTTACTAAAAAGAAAGCAAAGTTATTTGCATGCGAGAATTTGAAATCATTTTGTTGCAAACTCAAAGTTTATCGATAAAGCCATTTAATTAAAGCCAGGCAATTTAGTTTTATAAAGAACGTTTTAAAACGTTTTGCGAAGCTTTTGTGGTTGAATTTTACCTTAAATTGAAGCTTATATTACGTATAATAACATACCTAACAAATATATGTTGGGAAATTGATAATTTTGTAATTAAAATTGACATTTTTAGGCAATTTTTCATTTGTAAGAATATTCTTAAAAAATTATCGTGTTATTACCATGACAACAACTTTGGATACTTCATGTTTGGAAAATACAATGGTTTTGTCAGCAAGGCGAGGGTTTCTGCATGCATGTATTTTCTAGTTGGCATGTGTATTTTTCATAAATACGTCATAACTCATTACAGTTATTGTAAGGAACGAAGTTGTCAAATATGGCCTGGTTGGACGTTTGAAATTAAACTGTTAAGTTACTGTGACTGTGTGGTCGATTTTCCAATTTTGTCAGTTGAACTGAACATGTTGAATGAAGAATAAATAAGTACATTAATTAATATACAGAGTATTTCGCTCGATATTAGCTAGAGAGTTTAAGGTAAGGGGTTTCGGTGTACGTGGTAAGGGGTTTTGGTGTACGTGTACGGGTAGCATGATTTTGGTTAGGAATATTTTCGTCGATGTCTGTACCTTTACTCGTAATTAAGGTGCACATTATTCGCCTTATATCATTGTCTATTGCAAGAAAACAGAAAAAGTATGTTCGAATTACAGACATCAGTAAAACAAGATGACACTACTCGCACCCGTACACCGAAACCGGAGTATCTTAACCTCTCTATCTTGAATAAATCCTATATTTTGGATATTTGTACGAGCGTATTTATTTGCAATCAAATATTTTCCGAGTGAAATATTATCAATGTTTACATAAAATTGTATACTGTGCTCTTGCTTTAGCTGGGTGAAGGCTTTGTATTCTGTTTTAGAACTGATTTAATTTAGTACAAGTAAGCCCCAATATATTTCTAAAGTTTGTACCTTATAATACGCGCAGTCAAATTTAAATTAACAGAATTTATCTGACAAACACCTGGTCTGAATGTTTGCTTATTTGAGGTGTCAAATTTGCAGCATTTTCGCTTAAACTTCTTCGCTTCATATTTTCTTTCTTATATCAAAAGAATCATTTTACATATACAGTTTTAAAATAGCAAGTTAGTTACTCTCTATTGCCTTATACAGGATGTCCCCCAAAAAAGTCCCCTGTCATATTTGGTGGTATTACTTCGCTATATTTAATCAAAGGTTCAAATTTTTTGCAGTGGGTTGAAAAACAATCATATTAATCGTAGTATTTATCTCAACAAAATACTTAACCGTTCAGCTTCTAGAGATACGGTGGCGACACCAATTTTGCAACCCGTCCAAATTATAGAAATTAGTTTAAAAATAAAGCAAACTTTGTAGAAGGATTTCTGAAGTTTCTACCCACCTTTCTGCTCAAAAACAAAATGTTTTTATCTCTATTACTAGACATACATGCATGCAATAACCCCTCGCCTGTTTTCAAAAGATATATACTCAGTGCCGTTGCGAGCACTTCGTGTCAGGGGGGGGGGGTAAGGTTAGATAGAGGGGGGGCGTGATTACCAAAATGTTTCCAGATGTACAAAAAATTTTCAGGACATATAATAATTTTTTCGAAAATACAGTTGTTTTCCAAATTCACTTTCTCATGTCCTGAGAATTACCTGAATTTCCCTGAAAATCTTCTGCAAATCTACTTATATGTACCTAAAAGTGCACTGGAAATCTACCTGAAATTCCTCATGAGCAATAATCAGGGGTGTTGCACCCCCCCCCCCCCCCCAGTGAGTTCCAAGCAAACAATCTCTGATTTATTGTTCGTGTATTTCGATCACCTCCCAAAATATTGTGCATCATACTATAGAGCATTTTGCTGTTGTCATGCTCTAACATGGTTCAAATTTATGAATTTTTATTATATAAAGTATAGTGTTTTACGTACTATTTAAAGCACGCGTAGGAGTGTTTTATCACATATAAAACACGACGCTACGCGTCGTGTTTTATATGTGATAAAACACTCCTACGCGTGCTTTAAATAGTACGTAAAACACTATACTTTATATAATAAAAATTCATAAATTTGAACCATGTTAGAGCATGACAACAGCAAAATGCTCTATAGTATGATGCACAATATTTTGGGAGGTGATCGAAATACACGAACAATAAATCAGAGATTGTTTGTTTAACCCCTACTGGGGTGCAACACCCCTGATTATTGCTCATGAGGAATTTCAGGTAGATTTCCAGTGCACTTTTAGGTACATTACGACTCATCCTATACGAGTTCATTGGCGAAGAAATTTTAAAATAAACTTTGTCTAAACCGAGAAAATCAAAGCTAAAGTTTATGTAAATTAACGTGATTTTTTATCACATATAAAACCACGACACGCTTATGATTTTTCTTTGTGTTTGCTCCTGAATTATTAATGAGTTTTTTAAAGACATTTCGAGCACTGACAAAAATGATAATCTCACATGTGAAATTATTCATGATAATCTCACATGTGAAATTTATCGCCTTTTCAATTATCGCTTTTCTGTAAAAATTATCGCTTTTCATTTAAGACTGTCCTTTATATAATAAACAGAAAAATACATGGATGGTTGGAAATACCAGATTTATTTTTCGTGTTGAACATGACATCTCACTTGTTCGCTGCACACTCATGTTCAACACTCGAAATAAATCTGGTATTTCGTGCACCCATGTATTATTCTATATTTAATTAAACTACAACTTGACTGGTTTAAATTATTATCAATTTATCAGTAATTGTAAAAGTTGCAGATAGAAGACGTGTTTTGTTTTATATTATTATCAAGTTATCAGTGATCGCAAAACCTCCAAATCCTTAATTTCAAATGTTAGAATGTTAGGGTTGGAATGTTAGGGTTTGTAATCCAAGTGAGAATATATACATTTTAAGACCTAACCAGGAACGACTGCGAAAAATGCAGCACAAGGTCCTCTGGTGGGAATTGAACCTACGGCCCTGCGATTCCGGTGCAGCGCTCTAACCAACTGAGCTACAGAGGCCAGCTGTTAATGAGCTTTAACCATCAGTTCATGTATATTTAGGAAATCGGGTGTGCGGGTTGTGATAAGGTGGACTTCAATAATTTGGATTCTTGCACTTCACTTGTTGGAATTAATTATTAGATTGTTAGGGTTTGTAATCCAAGTGAGAATATATACATTTTAAGACCTAACCAGGAACAATTGCGAAAAATGCAGCACAAAGTCCTCTGGTAGGAATTGAACCTACGGCCCTGCGATTCCGGTGCAGCGCTCTAACCAACTCAGCTACGGAGGCCAGCTGTTGAGCTTTAACCGTAAGTTCATGTATATTTAGGTAATCGGGTGTGCGGGTTGTGATAAGGTGGACTTCAATAATTTTGATTCTTACACTTCACTTGTTAGAATTAATATTAGAATGTTAGGGTTTGTAATCCAAGTGAGAATATATACATTTTAAGACCTAACCAGGAACGACTGCGAAAAATGCAGCACAAGGTCCTCTGGTAGGAATTGAACCTACGGGCCTGCGATTCCGGTGCAGCACTCTAACCAACTGAGCTACAGAGGCCAGCTGTTGAGCTTTAACCGTAATTCATGTATATTTAGGAAATCGGGTGTGCGGGTTGTGATAAGGTGGACTTCAATAATTTGGATTCTTGCACTTCACTTGGTGGAATTAAAATTAGAATGTTAGGGTTTGTAATCCAAGTGAGAATATATACATTTGTATATTCTCACTTGGATTACAAAATATTCTCACTTGGATTACAATATTTAGGAAATCGGGTGTGCGGGTTGTGATAAGGTGGACTTCAATAATTTGGATTCTTGCACTTCACTTGGTGGAATTAAAATTAGAATGTTAGGGTTTGTAATCCAAGTGAGAATATATACATTTGTATATTCTCACTTGGATTACAAACCCTAACATTCTAATATTAATTCCACAAGTGAAGGACAAGAATCCAAATTATTAATTTCAAATGCCCCGCCGGGGCTAAGGTTTGAGTGGAAATGTCCAACCCCTGGGGATGTGCTTTACAGGAAAATGGCTGGGTGAGGGGGATGGGCGCACTTGGATTTGGCTGATGCATTAAAAGTCCTGTGCTTATTCCAGACTGCTTGTCAAATATTTACTTGCTAGAAGTAGAAATTTACTCTGACCACTGGATGAAGAAGACATTAAATAAGTACTGGTCAATAAACAGAAATGTATTTTATTTCATATAAGTATTACAACTTTATTTTTATACTATAAAAATAAAATATATGCAGCATAGAATATGCAAATTCGAGGCAAAATGATTGTTGAATCAGTTTATTTATAGGATTTTATAACAAATAGCAACTATAAAAGTTTGTACCTTGTCTTGACATCGCTTTATTCTTTTAGCCAATGCTTTTAAATTTACATATTTTAGAATCAGTTCCTTTCCTGGTAACTGCATTTCTAAATTTTAGGAATTCATAACAACTTTGAAAAATATATCGTTGTACATTCGGTCACAGTCGGAAAAATGTTCATAGTATGTTGTACCGTCGCTTGCAACTAACGATGAACAGTCGCTCATAAAAACATTCGCGCGATTAGAATTTTCAATGTTTGTCAAGAACAACAACACTTAATTGTTGTTTCCCATGTGTACAATAATAAGTAACAAAACTTTGTGTGGTCTGAACGTGTTGGGCTAGAGACCTACTGGAAACTTTTACAGGCTTTTTAATGAGCATAGAGAATGTTTTATCTGCAACTGTTCACCCTTAGTTGCAACCGACGGTATTTGACAGCATAAAATTGCCTGTGGCTGTGATAACTGATATAAATAAAATACAGTCTGGTTATACTGACTTGAGCGTGTCATGACAAACTCTTTATTGGAAAATTGTGAAGAAATAGTCGAATATAGAGGGTCGAATATCATACTTCAACTCGTATAGCTACAGTATATATCATTGGTACATAGCGTTGTGAAGACAAGCCTTTGTTTACTTTTCGCTTCAGCAGTCTTTTTTTCATGCTTCTCTACGCTTTCCCAGGCGAGCTTCTCTTTCCTCAGCAGTCTCCTCGAGCAAACGTTGTCGTCTTCGCTAGCTCCCTCCTTTTCGCTAGACGTTCGGCTTTCTTGTCGTTTCCTTGCCGCTCTTCATTTGGCTCCATACAGTAGTCCATATCTTTTCAATTGGTATTTGGTACCATAATTGTTTTATTAAACTTTTTATAGAACAAATAGCTTTGAAAACTGTCAAAGTTTTTTGCAAACGTACAACATACTGTAGTGCAAAAAGCATATTATTTTCATGAAGTATCTGTCAGTTGAAGTCGTCATTTGTCATACAACAACAAATTTTAAATTTGACCAATCAGTGTTCACTATCCATGACAGTCCGCCATATTTTTGAGATCAGTGAGGATGACCACCCACGCCCGCGATATTTGATGAACTTTAGACTTGGCTAATGCTTTCTTTTCTCTTGGTGTAAATAGCCGGGGGGAATTAGTACCCTCGCACGGCGCTTCGCGCCGCCGGCTCGGGGATTAAGCTTTTGTTTCTTGTAGAAAATAATAAAAAAGATAAAATTCCCTGGCAAATTGACAAAGGCAAAGCTAAGGTTGGGAAAATGCTTTAAATTTTCTGTTTTTTGTTCAATTTGTTCCATGAAAGAGCAAATGTTGGGATTTCAGTACTGGTCTTTCCCTTTTTCTAGGGATTGCTTCATTATTTTTACAGAAAATTTATTCGCGATTTTGGCTACAACTAATTACAAGTTTTAGAAAAGAAATGTAGCCATTTACCATTAAATTATTTTATTACGTTCCGTAATATGTTTAAACCTAATATCCACAGTTTGGACAAGTGGCAATATTGGTGTCGCCACCTTATGTAACTCTAGAAGGCGAACGGTTAAATATTGTGGTGCGACAAAATGCAACGATTAACGTAATATGTTAATTGGCAAAAAAAAAAGAAAAAACTTGAATACTCGACGTGTAGTACCACAAATATGATAGGCGACATTTTTTTGGGACACCCTGTATAGCTTATTTTTTCCTTTGCGCGCCGTTTGTCTTTTAGCGTACGAACCACTGAGCTATACTATATTACTGGAGGACGTGCTCGGGATAAAAAAGTGAAGCCAAAAACATGGCGAATTTTCACGCCATTTCCATGGCAACTGGTTCCTTTTGGCCATGAAAATACCACTGACCAGGCTCATTTCTGAGCTGCCCACTACAGTTTTCACACACCCCTGGTTTTTTCAAAAATATTCATAGGTTTTTCAAGTTTTTGCAGTGAATTCTCGTTGTTTTTGACATTTTTACATATTTTTCGACCTGCGACCATCCATTCAAAGAAATACAAGTCGTAAACATCCGGGAAAGATAACAAACGCCTTGCAAAATGTTGGCAAAGACGATATTTGAAGCAAGAGGCGCAGCTATTTAATACAACAGTACAGCCAGGTAAAAATACTATTGAAAAACAATATAATATGCATTTATTTTTTAGCATGAGAAGCTTTGTACAATATAGTGAATATTTTAGCCACGATTATTTAAGCCTTGTCGTACAAATGTAGAGATATTTCACCACACTTCCTCCCACAAACCGACAAGCGCAAAGGGTTCAAATTTAACATGCTTGAATTTCATACTATTCAGATTTGCTGAGCATAAACTTTTATTTGTATCAAAGGAAGAGTATAAACTGAGTATAAACTTTTATTTATCTGGATATTTCACCACACTTCCTCCCACAAACCGACAAGCGCAAAGGGTTCAAATTTAACATGCTTGAATTTCATACTATTCAGATTTGACTGAGTATAAACTTTTATTTATCAGGTGTGAAGACATGCATGAAACTACTATGTGCTACTATCTTTAAAAGAGGGATTTAGGGTGTCAAAGGAATCAGTGTTTTGTCAAGAAACTTTAACATCTGACATGTCATATAAAGCTGAGGCCTCTTTTCCATTCATTGCAAGAGCAACATAACCTTTGCTTTGTTTTCAATCAATCGTCATTCTCCCCCACTTTACATGGAAGCATTCACAGTGAACTTGTGAGTTGATTTTGGCGATAAGTTAAAAGTGGCATGAGGGTGCTGAAAGGGTGCCAGGAGAAGCCGACATGGTGCTGTGGGCACTTGGCCTGCATGGTAACACAATTTTTACCTCGGTTTCTGGGCAATGGTGTGTTGGCTTGATAATTTCCGTTTCTTGATTATTGTGTGCCAGTGTGCAGTTGATAATAAATAAGATAGTTTGTAGGGGTCCACTCACCACTGGATCTCAGTTTTAATAGGTTAAAACCTGGAAAATATATGCCAGGCAGATTATAAATTGTACTATATATAAATATGGCTATAAATTGTCAAATAAAATCACTTCCAGCTCTGGCTGAAATTTTTTTTCATTTACTGGCCAACTGAACTCTGGTCCAAACTTGAATTAAACATGTTGGTTCTTGTCTCAGCAACAGATACTCCCATATCAGATGCTCCCATATAAAATTTGCAGGCTTGAGTGTACAATGTACATAGCCATTTGAAAAAATGAGAATCAATTTGTACATTTTGAACAAAGACTTACTTAAATCCAGGTAGTTGCATCATACCTCAAAACCTGCATTAAAGCTTTGAGTTTGCTTCTGTACAGTAATCTTGCTGTTAAACCTCACCCCCCCCCCCACTCTAATACCCCCAATATAGATGAAAAAATTGTTGAGCCCCCTCTCTATTAAACATTCTTTGTTAAGACATCATTTATCACACAAAAAGACATGTTTTGGTGAGATTTATTTATTTTCTGGCTCACACAAAACAATTGTATTGGACTTGCAGGGCCGTGCCAACCGATACATCTCTGGGAGGGTGAACACAGAACTTTGGGCCCCTTCGCCTTTTGGGTCCCCAAAATTATTTGCATTATATGTTTGGCAATTCCAGCATTTGGGAATTTTATTATTATTTATATCAACTTCTTTATTTATGGAGGGTAGACACATAACAGTAAAAACTGACAAACCAGTGGCCCTCCAAAAATTGGGGACACATTTGAAAAGATTGGACCCGGGGATGTTAGACTCCCCAGTCAATCCAGCCCTGTGTGCTTGAAATAAATTATCATTAATTCACAGATAAATAGATACCCTTTCTCCTTTACCCTACATTACCCCCAGGGGTTTTCACTATTTTGTTTATACCTTCTTAAAAGAATAATATAAATCAGCAAGAAAAAGTTTTACAAACTATATATACAACCATGCAAGTTATAATTATAACTGTAAGCAGTCATATTGTATTTAAAAACACCACTGACAATAACATGATTCTCTGTTTATCACAATCTGATAGCAATGATAAAATGAAATTATCTTTCCAGTTCAGGGCAGGAATTAAATCTGGCCAGGGCCCTTACTTTTGTAAGTTGGACAATATTTAACTTTAACATAATTGGTGCACCACTACATGTCTGATGTCTACAGCACCACCTCTTGCTATTTGAACATTTAAGACCTCAGGTGGCTTTCTTTTTCACATTTCAGTATCAGCGCCTAGATAAGAAAAATCCGGCATATTTACAATTTTACAGTAGCAAATAGTACTTACTAGCAAATGGCATTGTGTTGGGTCATTCCAGCTAAATCGAAGATCGATATTAACCTAAATATGTTGAGTGGCAGCACCTTCCCTGTGACAAGTAAAATTGTCTAGCGTTAGACAGAGTGAAATAATAATGCAGGGTGCATCTGGGTACATTGCCACTTAAATGGTTAATAATACAATGTGGGTAGTGCTACAAATCATAAAAATCATGTTTAACCCAGTAAGTCGCATTGTGTCCTGATGCACCCTACTACCTATTTCACTCTGTCAAACGCCACGTTATTTTACTCATCAAGGGGAGAGTGCTGGCCCTCAATGGATTAATCAGGCTATCTGCAGCTGCTCATGTGTCTGTAGTTAAACGTTCTGGCCCTCAATGGGTTAAAGGTGTCCTACAGTCCGTATGTAAACAAAGCCTTTGTTTACATTTTTGTGTCCAAAATATTGAGCTTTATTCGACAACTATTTATATTTTCAAGCTTCTAGAGTATAGTAAATTATCAAGAAACAACAATCAGGCTTTTCAAGAACCCAAAACATAGTTAAACTGTTTGTATCATAAAAAGTGGGCTCCTTTGTGCACATGCGCAGATCCGACTGTAGAGCACCTTTGAATAATACAAACTGCTTGATGCTGAACTTTTGGAAAGTGCTCGAAAGGTTGGCTGTGCACTCACACCCTACATGTCCTGTATAAAATACAAAGCTACACAGTAGATAGCTGCTATTTCAAAAACCTGGCAAAACTAGCACACCTAAATCAACAAACAATTTTAAAAACAAAACACAAACCGAAGCACCATGAAACCCAAGAAATAGTTTAATAAAACAAGACAGGAAAGAGTTTGTCCAAGAAAACTTGCTTAAAACTACAATGTCAATGTAGAAATGAAAAAACTGCTGTAACTAGTAATACTCACAGTTTTAATATAGCATCAGGTTTTGAGATATGAGATATCCACGAGTGTTAATTAAAATATATGGCAACGTTGCCAAGCGAGAAAGTAAAAAATCGTGAATCTTACCGGTAATATTCTCCTTTTAGAGCCATAACAGGCACAGCAAAAATGCACCGTCTTCCCTGACTTTGTAAAACAGACAAAATTGATAAAAAATATCAAGATTTTCAGTTCAAAGACAAACTAAACCAAAATATTTTATATTTGTGAAAAAACCAGGGGGGAGGGGGTGAAAGATATTGTTTAAAGCGTAGGATCGCGGTTGGTCAGTGGTAATTACCATGAGAAATAAGAACCAGTAGTCATGGCAATAGCGTAAGATCCACCATGTTTTTGGCTTCACTTGAATGACTGGCGGAAAGATAGGAGCAGCTCCTCCAGTAATATTATAGCTCAGTGGTACGAACGCGCCAAGCTGAGACTCTCTATTAAAAACATGTGTGCATAAAGAATTAAACTATACATTTCGAAATATTATAATCCTCCAGCCAACGACACGGAGCGCTGTTCCCGGCGTAACCCTGGGGTGAGGGTACTAATCCCCCCCCCCTCTCCGCTATTTACATCCAGGGAAACGAAACACGATGTTGAGTGGGTGGTTATCCTCACTAATGGGATGAGCAAGATTTCAATTTTAAAAGACATATATTTGGAAAATTTTCTCAAACACAACAAGCTTGAAACAATTTTGTTTGAAGAAATGAGAAGAATTGATTTACTATGGGAAATCGTGAAATACACGGCAAGTTTGCTTTGAATATCTTTAAAATTTTTGCCTAAAAACGTGAATTGTTTTCCTTAAGCTTTTCAACGAAGCTCTAAGTTTCATAAATTACCGTTTAATTTGAGAAGAAATCTTAAAATGTAATTGAGAACAAATTGATTTGAAGACTGAACTGAAATTACCTAACAATTTGTTTTATTTGTAACTTATTATGCTTTATTATTACTTTATCGGCAAATGAACTATAGTCGAATGAACATTTCAAAACATTTTACGAAGCGTTTCAAGTTAAATTTTACATTAAATCAAAGATCACAAAATGCAAAATAATGTACCTACAGTATATATTTCGGAAATTTATTGTTATATAGTTAAAAGTACGAATCTTTGAACTATTTTGGAGTTTTGTACAAAAAATATGAAAAAATTAAAAATTTAAGAGTATCGTGTTGTCATGGCAACAGTTGAGCGCGAACCTGCTTTCAGTGGGCCATTTCTGAATACTTCTTGTTAATTTAATGTTTGGAAAATATTGGGGAAGGGTACTGAGTACTGTCTTATTAAAACGCGAGAAAAATAAAATATGTACTAAAACTTCATAGACATACTATCCAGGGACGCCGAACTGGGGGGAGGAGGGGCAGCCGCCCCCGTTGCTCTTTACCAGGAGGGCAAGGGGGGGAGGGCAAAGGTGCCCTTTTAATTTAAAGTGAAATAGCGAATTTGCTTCAGAAAACGCAATAAATGCAGTCATCGAGCTTCAAGAATAGTACAATCGCCTGGCGGAGAACCCCCTCACACCTCTATCATCCAATAAATAGAAAACATGATAAGGCGAAGTTCAACTCCCGATGTTTTGCAACCATCTGTTAGTATATATCAATTCAGAAGTGCCCTTTCACGAAAATCTGCCCCCGTTGCCTTCACATCGTTCCGGCATCCCTGATACTATCAATACTCACGTGGACACTAATTACTATGTAATATATTTTCTTACTGTTATCGAGCCGTTCCACTTATGATTACAATTTACGACAATTTACGATAGACTCGCTGTTGGTTGCGAGGTATATGTTCTTTGCTTGTCCTTGAGGATATTACAAATCCTTTTGTAGTACCTCTTTGTGGTTTTCCCAATATGAAACTGAAAGACTACAGGACGTAGATCTTGCGTAGCGACGTCGCAAATCAATCCACAAAGAATACATAATACAAAGACATCTCGCCCATTGATTTTGCAAGACAAGCTCTTGCTTTTCATTAAAACTACATGCATTTGTTGAAATACACACACTCTGAACTTTATGGAATTAATATCGGCAACTAGATCGGTGAAATAAACTTACCCCCGTCCCCCACCCTTATGTAAAAAATCTGTTATCTCCCAAAATCTGGGAGACACGTGACCAGCCTGGACAAGGGTCTTTCCTCCAGCGAGGCGCGTAGTGAAAAGATGCTGGGTGCGAGGTTGCAGTTAGTATTACTTGGCTAGACGGAAGATAACATTTGCCAGTATGTCCTATCCTATCTTTCTACTATCCTGGCTTATGGAAGACAAGAAATTCGCCATATACAGTAAACACTCTATCCCAACCAGACAACATGAACTTTCCTTCAGAGTTCCATGCTGCACAGACCAGATCATATAAACAGACCCTGGAACTACAATCGGAAAATTTTAGGCAATAATCTTGTAGAATGAACCAGGTACTGTGCCCAATTTACAATCGTAAAACAGAAGGAAGCAGAACCTTCACTGTTTAAAACAATTATAGATTGGAACAAGTAGATTTGAACGTTAGAAGTATACATTCTGCTTTTAGTTTTAGGCGTAGTATTTATAAACAGTTTTTAGATGATCAAAAATGTGCAAATAGGTTGCAGCGTTAGGGTCGTGTTTTAATAACTTTAAATAGGGACTGTGTTCTAATACCTTAAATTTTGTTAATTTTGAGGGCCACAAGTTTATCCGTTTTTTACTGTCACATGTTTATATAGTAAATAAAGCCTTTCACTTCACTTCAGTATATCACACCGTGTAAGCTGGTCTTGCCCATTAATTTATATGGGCTAAATATATCAATTTCATGTATTTTTGAGATTGCATTCACATGAACTAGGCTGGTCGAATTGACTGGCCCAACTTCTGCTTAAGTACGTTAATATCCTGCACTGCATGGGAGTCTCACAGTAAATGTCATAAGCTGGTCAACCAACTCAATAGACCAAAAATCATGTTATAATACACAATTTGGCTCAAGCAAGTAAGAGATTAATTAATATAAGCCTTCTGAAGCTGTTGTCATTAACAAATTAACTGACATTTCACACAAATTTCTTGCCAACACTTGCCAGGTTAGCCCGAATCCTGTGAAGCAAATGACAAACTACTGTCCGAAACTAAGATTTATGTACATATATCATTTTCACTCAGAATGTACCAAAGCATTATTTACGTGTTTTCCACGTATATTGGGAGTCGTGTTCTAGACGATTTCGTTGGGAGTTATTAGCGACCTTAAGATTCTACAACGCGGCAGTCTACAACGCGCTAAATTTCCGCGTTGCAGCCTGGGGAGAACAACGTCTGCGTATTGTAAAAAGTAGATTAAGATCTCGCGCTTTCAACTACGCGGACGTGTGTATTTTATAGACAACTGTTCATCAAGATGTGTTCATTTAGGCAAGCTAGGGAAGCCGCTATTTTGGCTTATGACTCTTCTTTTATTGATGAAGATGAGTTCGTACTTCTTTACGACATGTGTCATTCAAAAAACCCCGAATTACCGTACCAAAACTACGAGAGTTTTGAATTGGACAACATCGACGAAGCTGAATGCGAGGTTCAATTTCGTTTTAAAAAACATGAAGTTCCTGTTCTTGCTCGTGCGATGGGTGTGCCTGGACGATTCACATGCCCACAAGGAACTATTTGCGACGGAATGGAGGCTCTGTGCATGCTGTTGCGGCGATTTTGCTACCCGTGTAGGTATAGTGACTTGGTTTCGATGTTTGGTAGACCCGTCCCAGAGCTAAGTATGATTACAAACCAGGTTGTGGATTTTATTTATGACCAACATGCTCACAGGCTAACACAGTGGAACGACCAGCTGCTGAGTCCTCAATGCCTTCGAAGATATGCCGAAGCAGTGGCTCGTAAAGGGGGTGCATTGGCGAATTGTTTTGGTTTTATTGACGGGAGAGTGAGGGCAATATGTCGCCCTGGGCAAATGCAGCGGTTGGTTTACAATGGTCATAAGCGTGTCCATGCATTGAAATTTCAGGCATTAGCGCTACCTAATGGCTTAATTGGAAACTTATTTGGACCTGTAGGTATGTTCACATGTTTATGCCGGAACTGGTATTTTAATTTTTATTGTTTACATCACACACCCACGTTATTCCCCCAGAGGCTAAAATCCTGTAGCGTAGCAACAAAAAGTGTGGTTTTTTAATATCATCAACTTTGATAGTGTTTTACTGTAATATTGTATTTATTAAATATTGTACGTAAAACGTTGAATCCATGGACCATGATATTCATACACCTTTTGCAAAAAGGATAACACAATAGGACTGTAAAAGGTTTGTTTAATTAATTCTTCTTTTGCATAATATTTTTAGAGGGAAGAAGACATGATTCTGCCATGCTTGTTGATTCAGGCTTGTTGACTGCTCTAGAACAGCATGCATTTGTTGATGGCCAGCCTATGTGTGTTTACGGTGACCCGGCATACCCTCTTCGCATACACCTTCAGGCACCGTATAGAAACCGCCCATACATAACACCACAGATGGAAGCCTTCAACAAGTCAATGAGCACTGTTCGTGTTGCAGTTGAATGGTTGTTTGGAGACATTATAAACTATTTTAAATTTTTAGATTTTAAAAAAAATTTGAAAATTGGCCTAAGCAGCATTGGAAAGATGTATGTTGTTGCAGCAATTTTGAGAAATGCTCTAACTTGTATGCATACCAACAACACCTCAAAGTTCTTTGAAGTTGTCCCTCCTGCCATTGATGAGTATTTTGCATGATTTTATCAATATATGACCCACTATTATGTGAATGTCATTGACTTTCCCAACAAGGTTGGACCCTGGCAGTGCTGGGGTGAATTATTGGCTTTGTTAAGGGACTTTGCATGTAACGTCTCTTGCCTGAAATGTAAGGGAAATGGGTGGCTTTATCTATTTTTATATGTCTAGGTAACTATATATAGCTAAGTAGTGTTGGCAAAATGTATATATTGTTGCTGCAATTTTAACAAATACATACCCTTACTTGCATGCTACCTAATAACACTTCAAAGTTTTTTGAATTTGAACCACCAACTGTTGAGGAGTTACTTCTATTAATTAAGCCAGTTTTCCACTTCAGTTGTATCGTACCAAAACATAGTCTATTTCTTTGTTTCCTAAGCAATGACTTTGGCTATTTTAAATTTTTAGATTTAAAAAAAATAATTGAAAATTGGCCTTAAAGCTGCATTGCAAAGATTTATGTTGTTGCAGCAATTTTGAGAAATGCTCTAACTTGTATGCTTACCAACAACATCTCAAAAGAAAATGCTATATATGGCACATTACGATACGGTTGAAATGGAAAACAGGCTTTAAGGATGGCTTATATATTTTCAGGTTTGAGATTTTGACACTCATAATATACATGATAAATATTTATACTCAATTCTGATTGGCTAAGAGCTGTGCAATTGTTTCAAAATGCAGTGCCAAAAAATGAAATACAATGCAAATTTCATTGACAATGGCTGGCATTTTTAGTAGATTTTCTATTAAAATTATTTATATTAACCCTTTAAGTGGCAATGTGCCCGCCCCATGAAGATGTGCCCTATACATCTCTATTATTTTACTGTCTTGTGCCAGGCAATGTTACTTGTCATGGGGAGAGTGCTGCCACTCAATGAGTTAAAATTAACTATTTTGCATGTGACCTATGCACGCATG